CGGGCACCCTGACCCGCCGCCGCGCCGCAGGTACCAGGTCAACGCCCGCACGGAGCTGGCCGTCCGCTACAACGACATCTCGCCGCTGGAGAACCACCACTGCGCCGTGGCCTTCCGCATCCTGGCGCGGCCCGAGTGCGACATCTTCGCCAACCTGCCTGCCGAGGGCTTCAGGCAGATCCGGCAGGTGCGCGGCCCGCCCCAGCGCTGCAGGGCGCCGTCCTGAGCCTGGCGGCCCGCGGCCAGGTGCCAGGCCAGGTGCCAGGCCAGGTGCCAGGCCAGGTGCCGGGACCCGCGCCGAGAGCGCAGCCACCGACTAAGTCTCAGCAGGGCGCTGGCCGGGCTCCCCAGAGAGTGGAAGCCCCCGGCCGGGGTGGACGGGGCGAGCAGGTGTGTGGGGTGAGCTGAGGGTGGCCGGCGGGCAGTGGGCAGTCGCGGCTTCAGATCCCGCCACCTCGAGGCCAGTGTCTGCTGGACCCAGCACTAAACTTTGCTACAACGCGATGGGGCCTCACAGCTGCGCTCGGGCGAGGCTGTCAGCTGGGGTGAGACGCGGCCACGCCCGCAGCACGCGCAGTCACAGCCAGACACGGTCGCGGGGTCAGTCGTGGGGGGCCCCAGGAAGCTGAGGCCGGCCTCCGGCAAGCTCTGGGGCCGCCGCTCGGGGGAAGGACGGGCGGGGGCGGGGGCCGGCAGGCGGCACTCGGGACTGCGGGACCCTCGCTGCCCCCAGGCGATGATCACCCTGATCCTGGCCACCGACATGGCGAGGCACGCGGAGATCGTGGACGCCTTCAAGGAGAAGGCGGAGAACTTCGACTACAGCAACGAGGAGCACGTGACCCTGGTGAGCGCCGGGCTCAGTCCTGCACCGCCCAGCCCCTCTCCTGGCCAGGGCCCGCGGCCCCCCAGACAGCCCCCGCTCGCTCCCACTGGGCTCTGGTTCCCTGCGTCAGCGGCGGCTCCTCGGGGAGGCCGTCTCTGGACATCACCCAGCCCGGCGCTGGGGCAGCTGGGGGCCGGGACCCCGCCAGGCCGCCGCTCGGGAGTACGGAGGGCCCCGCGGGGTCACCGAGCTGCTGGCCGGGGCGCCAGCCCTTACGCCTGTGGGGCATCCAGCCCCGGCGGCCCTGGGGGCTGGCCGCGGGGACCAGAACACGCAGGGCCTCGGCTCAGCACAGGTGGACACGCTCGGGGTGAGGGCTGCTGGGGGGAGCCCCGGCCCCTGAAACACCAGTGGGGGGTAGAGGGGCCGCTCGGCCTCAGATACCCGAGCCGGGCTTAGGGTGGGAGGACGGGGGTCCTGGACGGGGGGGCTGGGGAGCCCCCTTAGTGCGCGCCGAGGGGCCCGCCGGCCAGGAAGCTCCACCAGCCGTGGCCGCCGGCGGGGCTGAGTCCAGCCCGGCTCCTGGAGGCCGGAGGAGCATTCCCGGGGACGGGCCAGCCGGCCAGGCTGGTCGCCCCCTACCCCAGCAGCCCTGGCAGGAGGGGCGGGCAGTCCACACCTGGCGGGCGCTCTGGGGCGCCCGGGCCCCGACG